CGATGCATGCTGTCTGACTGTGCCACTAGCTCCTTGCGACGACCTTCCCCTGCTTCCAACTCGTCTCCTCCTCCTCCCTGTCTCCCCATCTGAACTTTCGCCCTGTTCTTCTTCTTGATGAGCGGGCACCCACGTGACATCCATGGACGCATCGTCATCATCAACCGCTTCACTTGTATCTGACAACTCAGCAAAGGAAGCAGCAGCTGGTACAACATCATCATCATCATCATCATCACACCGTACGTCCATGTGTGTAATGCTGCCTGCCTGAGACATATCCCTGTTATCTACATCCTCTGGCAATAATGGTTGCGCATCACTCATTTCTTCAAACGGATGTGTGAATAACTCCTCTGACATACCAACTGAAGCGGCTGTGGCGCTAGTTTTGGTGGTGGCGGCAGGCGGGTGAGTGGTATCTTGAGAGGTGCCTGAAGCTAAGCTGGAGGAGGATGGTGCGTCAAGGTTCTGAGCGGAGGCTGTAGAAGATTGGGTGTCCTGTGTTAGCCAGTCAACTATGTCCTCAGAACTTTTCGAGTTCAGGGTATGTGGCCTCTGAACACTGGGCATTATTCTAGGGTCAAAGGGAATCACAGCACCACGACCACGACGGCCCCTGCGGGGTGGCCTGCCTCTGCCTGTCATTTTTTTTTTCGATTAGTGGTACTATGCGTGCAAGCTAACAGAGACCAGATATGAGTGGCAATGTGCACTGGCACAGTTGTGCAGAGCACAGGCTGTAGGCCTGACACCCGCTTTGAAGATAAATCTCCAACTGCTATTCAATCTAGCAACAGTGAAAAAAAACGTTTTTGTTTTTAAATCCAAGTTATTGTGACAATCGTGATCTACTAGTGTGGCACTTGTCAGCGTGATCCACTGTTGGCGTGAATACACCCGCTTTAAGGACACTGACTGCTATTCAATCTATAACAGTAAAAAGCTTTTGTTTTAAATCCAAGCTATTGTGACACCAGATCTAATTAGTGGCACTGGTCAGCGTATCCACTGTTAGCGTAACACACCCGCTTTAAGGACACTGACTGCTATTCAATCTATAACAGTGAAAAAAGTGTTTTGTTTTTGTAAATCCAAGCTATTGTGACACCAGATCTAATTAGTGGCACTGGTCAGCGTATCCACTGTTAGCGTAACACACCGCTTTAAGGACACTGACTGCTATTCAATCTATAACAGTGAAAAAAGTGTTTTGTTTTTTTAAATCCAAGCTTTGTGTCACCAGGACTAATTGGTGGCACTGGTCACCGTATCCACTGTTAGCGTAACACACCCGCCGCTTTAAGGACACCGACTGCTATTCAATCTATAACAGTGAAAAAATTGTTTTAAATGCAAGTTTCATTATGACAACAATTGTGCGAGTGGTGGCACTGGTCACCGTGATCCACTGTTAGCTTAACACACCCGCTGGCGACAATTGACTGCCATTCAATCTATAACAGTGAAAAAAGTTTTTTTGTTTTAAATCCAAGCTATTATGACACCAGTGAGTGGTGGTATTGGGCACCGTATCCACTGTTAGCGTAACACACCCGCTTTAAGGACACTGACTGCTATTCAATCTATAACAGTGAAAAAAGTTTTTTGTTTTTAAATGCAAGCTATTATGACAACAGATATGAGTGGCACTGTGAACTGGCAGAGTACACGCTGTAGGGCTGACACACCGCTTTGAGACAACTAACTGCTATTCAATCTATAACAGTGAAAAAAGTTTTTTGTTTTTAAATGCAAGCTATTGTGACACCAGTGAGTGAGTGG